GTGCTCAAAAAGTCATCGAACGATTTGAACACTTATTTAAGACGGTTATGCAATTACATTGTCAGCATTGTAATAAAATTAGTAATGCTTCCTCCTTAAACCACAAATTATTGGCCATAAAAATACAGTTCAATATTGTATGGAATAAAAAAGGAATAAAATGCATTACAAATAAAGTGGACTTTGGGAGGAAAAAGGACAACTGGAGAAGGTTGCGTAATCGCTTACACACTTAATTCGATAACTGCACTTAACAACATTTCATGACAGAAACGCATAAAAGTTTTACAAGAAAAGGAGCTCGAGCTCGACTATGCTAATGCAAACGTAATGGCGGGCACATTGTGAAGCGCTTGCGGGAAATGCGAAACGAAATGGCCAGCTCAAGCGCACATAAAACACATAATGTGCCACAAAACTCCGCACTTTACATTATACATTTCCATTGACTTTACGTTTTTCTTTTCAATTTCTCTATTACCATTTGTCAGACGATGACTGGCAGTCATAGCGGCGGAGACAAAGACGAGCGCAGACAATTGCTTTAACCGTCCGTGTGTCCGTCTGTCGTGTCTGTCTCCCATACTGGCTGAGCAAGAAGAAGCAAACTTACTTATTGTTTTTGCTGAATGGCTGTGCAATGTTCGTTATTGCCGATGAAAAATGTGCGCAAATAGAATGAAAAGTGAAGGAAAGTGATTCGAAAGGACACTCACGAGCGCGCACGCATGCAAATCTGCGCGACACACGCACTTTTTCTCATATGTAGAGTGTCTAAGGCGAATCAGCGGTCATACACGCATTGGCGGACAAAGTAAAAACGCCTGTGGCTATGCCTTGGTGGCGATAAATGAGTGAAAGTCTCAGACAGCACCCTGTCGTGCTTGGCTCGGTGATAAGTGAAGAAGTAGTGGAGTTAGGAAAATAAGAAAAGGGGAAGGTTTTGAGTCACCCAACAACGCGGGAGCTGTTAGCGTTTTGAACACATATTAAGGACAATAAATAGTACTGTCAAAGAATTCGTAGCCGCAACACTTTGCGGGTGTCGTTGCGGGAAGCTACAGCACATATAACTTCAACGTTTGTGCGTTACAAAGACCTTGTAGTAAAACAGCAACAAAATATGGCATATGAGAAAATGCAAATAACAATGTGTATTTGTCACAAAGCGCGATAGGAATCACTTTGCTGACAATGGGGAGGCGGTAGTAGAGAGTTTGCGGATGGCACGCTTGCAACCATAGCTGTGAGGCTAACGGTGATGGCGCTGTTAAAAAGCATGAAGAATGTTTGACTTCGCACTTCAGCTCTTAGTGTTCGGCGTGGAATGTCTCAAGAATTACATTTTGTTTATAAATGCATTTGAAAGACTTTCTGCAAGTTAAGGAGTACGAAAACACCTCGCAGTTTCATCACCAGCATTGTTTACAAATTGCTCGAAAAATAACTATTTTTTCAGGGTCGCCTCTCCGTCGATGTGTCCAATGCTTAACATTCGAAGGCTTCGAATGCCTAAGCCAGTTAATTTAAAGCTTCCAAGAGAAACAAATGCTTATGCTTCGATAGCTTAAAAGTTAATTTAAATATAGTGCTTAGATTTGTTACTTGTAAATTTCCAAACTTTTACACAAAACTGTGCTGTATGCTAAAATGCTCCGCTTAGCGCAACATGGTTGAAACGCCGTTTGGATTCACTAACTTTAGGTTAGGCAACTCTTACAGTAAAAAGTTGTATGAAAATAGGATTAAAAAAACCGTTTATGGATGCAAAATATTATTCGACCTCAAGATGTAGTAACTCATTTAAACGCCTGTTATTTATCTTAGTTAACCCAAGAGAAGGCTTCAATGTCAAAAGTATTAATTTTCAAGGAGTGTGTAAAGGCGAGTGAAAAGTGAAATGTTTACACAGAAAACTTGGGTCTTCGCATTGCATATTACACACTAAGCGCTACCCAATGGAACGCAGAGATGCGCGAGTGCATGGCGAACGCCTAAAAGTAGACTCATTTATTTGACTTAAGCTGCAAGAGCGCTCGATGACATTTATGATGAGCCGCCGCCATTGCCATCGCCGCTTTTTCTTCATTAAATCGCAAATAAATAAATATATATATATATATATATACAGATATGTACTATTTTTTATACATTTACGCACTACTCGGTATAAAAATATGCGCACAGCAATATGAAAGAGGAAAAATGTAAAATAATAAATATCAAAGTGAATGATAATGCAGCGCTGTTGCGAAAATAATTTTAAATAGCTGAAATATACAAACATTTATATATGTTATGTATACTATCTACTATACTTACACATACTTCTCCATTGTCTATTCACATGCGATAGTTCATCATACAGTCATGCCTCCTTAAGCACTCTCAGCGCTTTCGTTTGTGTGCGGAGGGGTGTCTCAGTTTGCGTTGGAGTTTAGGCATGACGTAGGCGTGTTTATGTAGATATGTTGCAGCCAAGGCACTTGAAAAATTCTTTCGCGTTGTTGAATTCATAAGCATAACGAGCGTTGCCTGACTACCTTCTGGTAAAGTAGAAGTAGCATCGCAAGCGGCAAGTGCGAACGGAAGGCGGGTGGCGCTGCTATGCTGCCGAGGTCGGGAATTGCGAGCGATTTGTCATAGCGCGGCCAACGTGAAATATGATGAAAGTAGGGCATTCGTCTTATTTAGCAGTGTTGGCGCAACAACAGCAACAACCACGAAATAGTGAAGATACTTACACCAACAGCAGCTACGCACCACCACGGTAGTAACTGTCAGTAATATGCATATGTAGACAGACTTAGGAGGCCGGGCAGACGGCGCATCATCGACTCAGTGGCTAGAGCTGAACTTGGAGGAGCAGAGTCAGAAAGTGAAAGTAGCACCACTTCGGCAATCGACGAGAGATTTGCTAGAAAAAGTAGGCAATGAAATAAATTGCAGACATTTTTAAAATATGTTAATTTCATTTTTAAAACAGCGAAATGCTGTGTTTAATGCGTTGAGCAGGGCCAACCTCACGCACCGCCCATGGCCATCTCCATGGTGCCCGTCTTACCTTACAACCGATGACCATGTCGGAGCCTTGTTTATGAACAGCAAACTCAACAAGCTTGAGGTATGAGTTTGCTGCCAAGGGATCGCGGGGTGAATGTTTTGTGATATTTAATTTTGAGTACATTCCGTTTCCCAGAAATCAACGTTGATGGCACCGTTTGTCATATTACAAAAATGTGCGAAAATTGAATATTTGGTGGAGTGCACGTTGCTCTTCTCATTGAAAATGTTAATTAGCCGGAAGTGAACAGTTAGATTATTTTAGTATTTTTAGACAAATGTTTCTGCAATGTCAACACAACTGTACTATTGGGAAATATTAGTTTGACTTTGATGATATTCCCATGTTCTTGATCGGTATGTTGTAAAGTTAATTGAACTGACAGTATGTGTTTCAGTTAGGAATGGTTTTGTTTATTTTGACCCATTTGGAGACCTTTAAAATATCTTAAGCGATTATCATATGTGCTGTGATGGAAAGAAAAATATATTAAGATCATTAAGGTAGCTGACAAATAGCGTGATAAATTTTGCTTATAATTGTCAAGTGACTTACTAGATTAAATATGCTTTTAATGATATCATTAATTACATCGACATCGTGGCGTCTAAGTTTCTTAATTACACCAATTAAAGATAAATATTTGTTTCGAATATATACATGGTATGCTGTGAACATATTGTTGAGGGAAATTTTTCGGTTTTTTATTATATATAAAATTGCAACAAAGAAAAATTTAATAGAATATAAATCAAATGTTTGAATTACCCATTCCCACATATTAATTATGTGTCAAAACGGTTTTAAATAAAAGTCATCCTTATAAGGATATTTATGGAAGTGCTGAATTGCTGAATTGAATCAGTTTTCAGAGAATTTCTCTTATACTTGCACATTGGAAGAATTGGTAGAGATGTTGGAAGTGCGCAAGTTTGAGCGAGAGAGCATGGGTATATTTCTTACAGGGTATTTTTGAAAAGAGGGATATTTGTACATACATAGGTATATATGGCTAGTGAACTAGCGGTCTATGGCCGACTTTATTATCAGCCTATGGTTGTATACATCAAATTTATCTAAGGAAATTTAAGGTTAATCAAGTTTTCAATTAATTTAGTAAGTAAATTGACCAAATTATTTCAGTCGTCGAAAGCCGCTATGTCAAATTCCATATAAAATATAGTATATATTGTACATTTATGAGTAATGAGGCAGAGTTAACTAAGTGACTCGCACATTTGATGAAACGTGGATTATCAAACTTATTTAAATGCTACGAAGTGCGTTTTCGTGTTTCTTTTTTGTACTGTCGAAGCTATCACAATCTAATGGTATATCGCATGCTCCTTGGACGTTTGTGCTTATTTATTTATGGCGCTGCAAAGTATGCTGTTTTAAACTTTAATGCATTTAGCAAAAGCAGAATATGCGTAACGCAGCTAATTCCCACTGCCTTGGGATTAGCCCTTGGTGCAAGCATCGTCATTCTGCCATGCAATAAAGATAGGCCACTTGCAGCAAATGTTGCCGCAAGCGAAAATGCAGTTAAAACACCAACAATCACAACAATATAACAAGTGAGCGAAAGATATTGAGGGCAACAAAAACAAAAACAAAAACGTAAGACGCCCGCACATTCTTACTTGATTCACAACAAAGTGTAGCGGGCACTGTGCTGTATATAGGTATGAAATGTCAAATTTCCCACAAAAATACGAACCGAGAGCAGCCGTAGTTTAAAAACGATTGTACCCCGTATTAAATATTACTTGCAGAAGCCAGGAGCAACGAATAGTAGCTTACAAGAGGCTCTCGGCTGTACAATTTTTTTTTACGCTGTGAAGAAATTGGGAAATTCCCAATGAGGCAAAAATATCCTGTTGGTCGAGGAGCTGTTTCGTTAATGTTTTCAGCGTCGCTCGTTCCTTTCGACACTCGTAGCGCTCGTCCGTGTTCGTACGGTCTTATGCTGCCTCGCTGGTTGCTGGTTCGCCGTATGTGCGCGACCATAAAATTTTTCGCCAAGTATCGCTCAGTTTCGTATTCGTATTTGAACGTGTCGTTACGTCGTGTTCGCAGGGTACGCGTAGTGATTTGGAAAACTAAAGTGTGGCGCTAGCTGACGCATAAACAGTTCATCTGTGGAAATCTATGTTCGTTCGTTTGTTCGTCAAAGCCGCTATAAAACACTGTTAAAATAAAATAATATAATAAGAAATTAATATCAACTTGTTTGTATGTATGAGAAAGAAGTTTCAAGAAATACTATGTGCAGTGCGGTTTTGAGTTAAACGGACACTCGCACCACGCAAGAGTTTACGCGTAACGGTATGCCGTGGGTGGAGTGATTTATAATTACTGAAAATTAAATAAATTCGATTTATAATTAATAGAATTGCTTTAATTGTAGTGCGAAAAAAGAGACACATACAAAAATAAGTAATGCAAAAGTAATTCAAGCATTGCTTAGATTACTTCAAATATACCATATTAAACGATCTTAAACTATCAAAGTGAGGCTAACGGATACATTTACCTCTACTTAAGTTACTACAAGTATCTCATATGCTTCCGTTCAAATATTGCATTTCGCTCTTGACGCTAGTTAAACAAATCGCTTCATCTGAAAACAAAAAAAATCTTAAATTTTTTGAGATAAAAGCTCCAGCTGACCCGGTGTTTATCTTAGATTCTCCGTTAATTGCGTACTTTAGTCAATAACTGAACACACACAAGCGATCATCAAGACAGACCGTGAATAAAGACAAGCTAGCCAGTGATGGTAATAAGCTTGTCTCGTTGTATGAACTCCAATCGCTAGTTTAGCTAGCTAGTTAGCCAGACAAGAGATAGTAAACAGTATAAATAAAGAGTTTTGCAAGTTGTCAGCTGCGTCCTTCAACTTTCAGCGTGCAGCCGAATCGCTCATCTGGCGAACCACAGTAAACAATATGTCTAATGATTATATTCTTGCGCATAACTGTAAACGCACGTAAGAACTTTAATAATACATGTGCAGCGACACGCATAACAAGTGTTAATGTGCACATATCCTTATGTTGACTAGTGTGTGTGTGGAATATGCGTAAGTGTGTCAGTGGGCACGTGAGTATTTATATAAGCAGCGAGCAGCTCTTCCCGCGACTTCTCGTAATCGCGTTTCAACAGCACATTCTGCGTTTGCGGCGTTGCATTTGCTGAATGCTACTCGTATAAAAAAGAATAAAAAATAATTATGCATGCATGTGTGTGTGTATGAGCAATTGTGCACTCTCATATTATTATAGTTATATGCATATTTCATCACGCATGCAGCACGCAGCGCCAAACTGCGAATGTTAATGAAATGAAATCATTGCTGGTAATTGTTATGAGAAATTGAGGAGAAGAAGAATGAGAGCGGATATAAAAAAATAATTGCAACAGTAACAGTAAAGAGTTGAAAAGTGAAATAATAATAAATTTTGAAAGAAAAAAAAATTTAATAAAAAAATCAATTTAATTGTGTTAATGAAAGTGCGCACGTCACTCAGCGACTCGTCTGGTTGCAGCTGGTGTAGTGTGTGTTCGCGACGCGTTGCATATCTACAGGCGCATACTGAGTGGTAAATTTACATACTTGTATACTTGTGTATATATAGCGCCTCAATTGTGTCAGTGTCATACGCAACAATGAAAGCAACAACGGCAGACCGTTATTGTGATATATGAGCACGGCAACGAGAAAATCCCAATGCCATCTGAGGCGCCACACCATTCATTGACAGCATCATCCCGTCATCATCGTTAATATATGTGTGTGCGTGTTTCGCTTTTCTTTATTACTCTAGGTCGTGCTGCTGCTGCTGCAACTACTTAAGTTGCCGTTATTTTGCCGCTCATTGTTACTTTCCATTGCTTGCACATCTTCAAAGTCATCGCTGACATCTTGAGCCATATTCGCAGCACTCGCGCACATGAGCTTGTGACGCTTAAGAAGGCTCGCAAGCAAAAGCATTAGTGTGTTAGTGGTGGAACGTTAGAACGCAGTCAGCTGCGCCGCGCTGTGCACATGCTACAGCGCACACCCACATCAGGACGGCGCCGCGCGTGTAGCCGTGCAAATTTCACACAGCATAATCAAAGCGCGAGCATTGTGCTTTTTTGTGTGCATTTCATGTGAAGTAGTGCCTCATGCCACAATTTGTTGCCACACGGTTCATGGCGTTACATGGCAAGGTCGTTTGCGCAGCAGTAACACACACGCTGTAATTGAGATTGTCAGCTGCTGGTTCGCGCCGCGTGGTGTGGTAGACCGCAAGCGTTTAATCACCATTTGATGAACTGCTGCTGGCTCTGGTAAGTTGCAGCAAATAAATATACTCGTGTACATATGTTTCAAAGTTTTTATAACCAAATGCATCATGCTGGTGCAAGCTCGCTGGTGCCCCGCTCTACGTTACTTGATTGTTTTTTGCTGTTTTGAAGATGGAGTGCGCTAAAAAATTGACTTGCGGGGAGGGAAGAAATGTTGTCGATGATTAATTGCTTGTTTTTTCAATGAAATACAACAACGTTGCATACATATTTCAACATTAATGCTTGTGTTGATTTCAAGCTTTATGGAGAATACTTTATGACTTAGGGCTTTAAATAGACTTTGCACTTCAAATGCTCGAATCAAAATATTAGAGTCAAGAATTGAAAAAGCAAGTAACTGTGCAAAATATCACGGAAAAAGTGTGCAACATATTCAATTGCTAGAATTTTGATTAAAAGAAAATAGGCTATATCTCAACTTAAATTAAAAACAAGTAAGAAAGGGAGTAACAGAACATTTCATACTCTTGCAATTTGCCAGGATCAAAACCGGGAATCGTCAAGTATTGGCACACATTTTATATTCAACAGTTAAGAAGAGGATAAGTTCGGCTGTAATCGAACCTTTCATACCCTTGCAACTTGCAAAAATCAAAGCCCGGGAAGTATGGTAGTCAGAGGTGCTGCCAAACCTTTATATTAAAAAATGTTGCGAAAGAATTAAACATCCATTATTCGATAAAATCGTGAATAAATTACAATCAAATTTGATATCTTCTTGACTTATATTGAAGGCCACAAACTTAGACTTAGTTTTATTGCTATATTTTACTTCATGTCAGCTAAAATAAATTAAAAGCACCTTCAAATGAGATAGTATGAGTATGTGAGTACTGGACTGAAGAGGCTTAATTTAATATATTGAGTTGATGTGAAAAATCTCAACCAAAGATTCATTATATTAGAGATATGAGGCTTAGAGCAAGACCAGTTTCAGTTATATTGGGCGCCAAACCATTAATATATTTTATAACTTTTAAGAAAACTTTCAAATTTAATTTTACTAAAATATTTATCCATTTTAGGCACAAAGATATATGTTATTAGAAAAATTTGCTTTCTCAATATTTCATTAATTTCATTAAAATAAAAACTTGGTATAAAGTCAACTGAAAGTTCGAAAAATCTTTCTATTAGGTATATTGAGACAAAGAAAGGCATTGACCCGATTTAATCCATTTTTCACACAAAGGTATATTATTATCACAGAAATATTTTCCTCGAATTTTATAATATATCTCACAAATTAACCGATATTTTTGGTAAAAAGTCAGCCATACGTACTGGTGTCCTATTTAGACTCGAGATGGCATACCTCAAAGGCACTATTTGTGCAAAGTTTTAACCGAATATATAATATAATATTACGTGGTGCTTGATTTGTGTACTGGAAATTAAATGAATCAGATGCAATTTGAAATTGTGCTATATCCCATATAGGAGCCGGAGGCGCGGTTGTAGTCATCATTACATAGCACCGTCAGGATAATGCCATGTATATAATTATCATAAAATTGGTCTAGTCCATCAGGTGAAAAAAAGTAATACTATAATTTGTAGCAACATGTTGCAAGAGTAAAATAAATACTAAATATATATATTACATGGAGTAGGAGCACAAAGTTATTAGATGGAATTGCTTACACAATGATGAAACTTCAACGAAATTTTATTGAAGTGAATTAAAAAATACTAAATTCAGAAACATAGTTGACAATTTAATGAGAGATAACTACAAGCGTCAAGCCATTAACCATATTATCATGAACTATTTGGACTCAGTAAACTTTTTTGGGTTCAAAATTAAATTATTTTTCCACAAATTTTTTTATATATTCGATTTTTCACGACGTTTTCTCTGATGATAATGCATTATCTGACTAGATACTTTCGTTGGTGTTTTTATATTTTGGTAATTTTTAAACAAGTTAACTAAATTAAGTGACGTATGTAGCGAGAGATTTATAATTTATATGCTTTAGAAATAGTGCCTACGTGGAATGAAAGATTCGAAAATAGAAATTAAGATTAATTTGTAAATATTATGATGAAATATCATTTTCTGATTTTGAATAATTATTGAATTTTAGGTGTGAGTCTGTGTGGACTTTTTTTTTGGCGCTAATACAAAATGTATTCATTTGTAGAAAATCAGTAATGTATTCTTTTCAAATAGCCTGTTTATTATTGCTAATTAGTTTCAGGTCCCTCATTTTCTTATTTTTTTCTAAATTTTATAAATTTGGTTATTCCATTCGTTTATCCATGTTTTAAGCCGATTATTTAATGCAGCGACAGTGCTTATTCCATATTGTATAAACGCATTGAAAGTGGCAAGAAAAACCAGCAAATCGTACGAATGGCACGCTTAAATCAACAAGCACTGAATGCCACACTAAATTATCTGAAATAAGATTTCGTGTTTCGAAATAAAAGCGGATTTGCATGTGAAACAAGGTAAAGGCACAAACCCGAAAAATAAAGGGTAGATTTTGCCAACTTAAAAGCCAAAGGCCAAAGACAAATTTTTGAGTGCTGCGGATGACGGAAAAAATAACATTTTGGCTCGTATGTGTGTGTGAAAAGACGGTAAAAGTGAGTAAATCACAAAAGCGAATTTTACGTTCCTACGCGCACGAGAAGCAATTGAGGGAGGCCAGCAAGCAAAGCATTGGATGTGTAAGTATATGCAATGCGCACCGGTTCATGGTAGGAGCTAGGAAAGCGCTTAAGTTGCTGTTCTAGTCGTATGCGTCGTACCTGTGCGGTTTTATGGTTTTTGCTTTATCTGTGTTCGCTTTTATTTTCTTTAAATATTTTGCGTTATTTTTTTTCCTTTTGAGGAAATTTCCCCTATGAAAAAGCGTAATTTTATGCGAAAATTTGCACTCTGCACCAGGTATAAGAGCACGGCCGCATGTGGAGGAAGCTGTGTGTATGGGTGCTGGTGAAAGAATAATAATTCAAACGCTAGAATTACCTCAACATAACGGTAAATGTGCGCTCGCCTGGTTATGGTGCTCGCAAGTTTCGCAGCCGCACACACGCAGTTTTCCTCGCTTCCCTTCTATGAAAATGTTTTTTCTCTTATCTGCATTTGCAATTTGCATTCAAACACGCAGAAACGCCTTGGCGCAGCTTTCGCCGAGAAACTATTGTTATGCTTAATTCTTGTAAGCCGCAAGTTGGGAGAACCTAGTTGTTGTTGTTCGTGTAGTCTTAATTCACAGGCGCTACATACATATGTAGTTAGCATTTAATATTTTTTACTCTTATGTACTGGCAATTATTGAATATGCTACGCGAGAAATAAATGTTCTGCGGCAAGGAAATATTTAGTATAATTTTTTTAGCAAATTTGCCTTAATATTGGACCGAATAGCGTCGAATCACAAAATTCAATTGTGATCTTGTATTGTTTGAGAGATAGGTCTTACGAAAGGAGTGTGGGTTGTACCTTATTGAGAAAGATGTATATCATGCAGGATAGAATGTTGAGCTCTGGCTTCAACTCTAACATTATTCAATACGTTATTATAAGGAGAGAAGCCTGGATTTGTTTTCGGTTTCAAACTGAGTTCAACCAGCAGAAATGAAATAACTTCACGGTGGATTCGGTCTGAAAGCCCTAGGCTTTTTCAGTATCAACAAGTATGAAAACTATTAATGCTTTTAAATATTTAATTAAAGGTTTTGCATATTTATAGTTCTAAATAAAGTAAATATGGAACCAAGTTTTATACCAATATTACGGTTTTCAACTCTAATCGGTTGAATTGAAGTTAAAGCAATTCAACTTCAGATCAACCCAACTCTTTTTTAATAAGCTTTATTAGCTTGGGTTGTATGTATGTAATGGAATCTTAAAGCTCAATTTTCACCGGTTTCCAGAAGTCTGATCAACTTGAAACTTTGCACACGGAGTTAAGTTATTCTCTTAGTAACTTTAATTTTATTTTAAAGTAATTAATCATGATTGATTGTTTGATCTGCTACTACTATAATATAAACTCTTTGTAAATAAATAAAAATTATTTCCTACTTTTTAGTTCGATTAGCTTTAAAGGCGTGGATTTTTAGTTTTTTTAAACTATTATTTATGGGTATTACGATTTCCAACTATTTTCAGTCGAAGTATGATTGGTGTGGCCAACCAAAAAATTAAGATTGCAGTCTCGGGATTTTACTTCACGAGCTCAACACATTTTTACCGTGATAACAATACAAGTTGAAGTTTGACAACACTTCAACCGAAATTTTTAGACGGGCTGAGTTGAAATCCATAATAACGAATTTCCAAACTTGAGCCAATATGTTGTTGGGTTGAAAACCGTAAAGGGACCTTAGATAATTTTTTCTAAACAAAACGTTTTATGATCACTAAGTTGTCTTAAATCACGGCTATTAAGTTAAAGATCTATGAAACAAATATTGAAGGTTGACTTTACATTACTGAATTCCCTCCCGATTATAAAGTTTATGAGTAGGTAAAAAAAAACCTTACAAAATTGAAAAAGGTATGTGTCATTTCGGAAGCAAAAAATGCTGAAATATAAAATAGTGAACTGTGTTAAAGTCGCCCCATGAATTCATCAAAAATTTTGGCTTTTGCGTTTATATTTTAAGCTCGACGAAGCAACTCCTTTTAATAGAACATTAAAAAATCAAAAGTTTTGCAATACACGCGGCGTGATATTATTGCTATTGAAGTATGTGATTTCGACAATATAAATTAATATTTTTTTTTACTTCTTCCGTTTTGCTTTTGGACTTTTTCATGTAATAGAGGCAGTTATATTGATTATTTGAAAATTATTTATTTCTTATGATGATATGATATGAGCGTACGTTATGCGTTTTGATAATCGATCATATTTTCTATAATTTTTCGTTGGTGTACGCCTTCATTCCGCCAGGGTGTTCAGTCATATGACAACAGAGCAAATTTTAATCGCGCAAAAAAAGGTTCGTGCTGCTGG